TAAAGAAAGAAGAAATGTGTCAGATGGGATGTAAATATCTTCTCTGTCTCCTCCGAATCTTGTTTTTTTTTTTCCACTACTAAAACATCATTGACTTGGTCTCGCCTCCCCAACGCATTGTTCGTTAACAAATATAAAGGATTAGTGAGTTTCTGAAAATATATGTATGCATTTGATGTCTCAGGCTTCATGCTCATCAACTATTGCAGCGGCTCTCACCCCTCAATCCAGTCGAACATATTAAAATTTGTGGTGGTGTGTTTAGGTAAGACCGTCTGACTACTTGATGCAATAAAATTCTGTTGTTGAACTGTCAATGACTACTACTTGAAATAGTTCTGTTTTATGCTTTCTTACTTATTGCCTTCCTGTGGGTGCTTTGATTTGATAATTTAACTTAACAGTAGATATGTTGCATTTTCTTGTGTTCCTAATCCAGGCTCATTGAGAAAGCGATTTTGTCACCTTATAGATCAGTGTGCGATATACAAGTTTCAACTGCTGGTATGCCCTCAGGCGTTGGTACCAATTTGGAGACTGGAGCTACGTCACTAAAATTCTTTGTTGATTTGTCCACGGAACTGTTTGAAATGCTTGCTGCTGTTGGACCTTATCTTTATCGTGACACGTTGTTGCTGCAGAAGGTCTGCTATAATTGGTTTATAAACCTTTGCAGTTACTTTTTGGTAATTGTATATTTAATCCACCGTAGTGTGTGCTTTGCAGACAACTAGAGTTTTGAGGGCTTATTATCTTAGCGCATTGGAGCTTGTTAGAGATGGTGATGGGGCATTTAGTTCTCATTCTGTTACAGTGGGAGATAGAAATCCACGCCTTCATTTGAAGGATGCAAGATTAAGAATCGAGGAAGCGCTTGGGGCATGCCTTCTTCCTTCCTTGCAGTTGATACCTGCAAACCCTGCTGTTGGCCAGGAGATATGGGAACTACTGAGTCTCCTCCCCTATGAGGTTACTTCTGAAAACTTGTCATTTTCGTGCCTGCTTAGGATCAATTTTGCTTAACTATGATATTATAATTGTTATATTAGGTGCGCTATCGTTTATATGGTGAATGGGAAAAGGATGACGAACATTTTCCAATGATCTTGGCGGCAAGACAAACAGCCAAGGTACTACTTGTTTATAGGACTTTGCTTTGCAGCATTTGTAAAAACATTTCTAAAATATTGGTCTTCTGCAGTTGGACACCCGAAGGATTTTAAAACGGCTTGCGAAGGAAAATCTGAAGCAGCTTGGAAGAATGGTTGCTAAATTAGCTCATGCAAATCCCATGACAGTTCTTCGGACAATTGTTCACCAGGTAATTTATTAGTTAGTAGACTAGATTACTTTTCTTATAATTGGTTTTAGAAAAAGGAAATGTATAATTCTTTGTTACTTTACTTTACAGATAGAGGCTTACAGGGATATGATTGCTCCGGTAGTTGATGCATTCAAGTATCTGACACAGGTCTATCATCCACTAGTTGCTTTGACTTATCCTTCATTCCGGTTTTCATTTATGTTTCTGCAACTTGAATCTATGAAGACTTCTGCTGATGAGATATAAAAGATATGTCCTGTTTAATCCTTTGCCAAACTGTACTTATATGCTTTATCCATCTTCATGGACTATACAAACAAAGAGGGACTGTATACACAATTGAGCTATTTTACATTTTCTAGTTCTTATTATTATTATTATTATTATTATTATTATTATTATTATTATTATTATTATTATTTTATTTTATTTTTTTCTTTATTTTTTTCATGTTGATGTTCTTGTTCTTTGATTTTACTGTTATGCCTAAATGCACATATACATACAGCTTGAATATGATGTCTTGGAGTACGTTGTGATTGAACGCTTGGCTCAAGGTGGACGCGAGAAGCTTAAAGATGATGGTCTTAATTTGTCAGACTGGCTCCAATCACTAGCTTCATTCTGGGGTCACTTGTATGCATCTTTTTCTCATGATAAACCTTGATTTGATTGCTGTGAGTTGCTTCTTTCATTGAGCATGTGATGCATTTGTGTTGGGATCATATTTTTTATTTAATGTTGCTGGACAAATATGGAGTGTGTTTAGGGCTTCGTATTCGTACGAATTGCAGTGTTCTGTTTTAATTTCTTTTTACCTCTTTTCTGTTTCTTTGTAATATGTTTCTCCAGGGTGGTTGGGTACTTTTTGTTTGCTTTCTGAATGTCACCATCAAGGTTATTTTGGTCTTCTTAAAGTATGAAGGAATTTAGTTACTAACAGTCATCGGTCATCAGTCATCAGTCATTTCAGTAACTTAGATTCCACGAGATTTTCTAACCAGTTTGCGGTGCTGTTTATTTTCCGATGAAGCTGGTTCCTGGAACACCTGTGGCTGGGATTACTTAGCTCATTGGTTTGCCTTTATCCCCATGCACTCTTATGCTGGGCAAGAGAAAAAAGATACCTCTGAGTTAAGATGCTCCTGTCTCCGGGAATAAAGAGGCCAGTTTGAGGGGGCAAGGAGTCAAGGACATCGCCTTAGAGCTTTCCTGCCTATGTAGATTCCCTTTTGATTCTTGATGCCCTGATCTGTTATTTTGAGGAAGTTTGAGTTAGCAACTTTTGATTCATTGAAGAGATCCACAAAAGCATACTCATAATTGCTGATGATGGATATGAATTATGAAGTCATATTGGCGTGTGGGCATCTTTAACATTGAAAGATAAACATAGCTCCACTTGATTGCTTGGGTGCAAGATCTATTGACTTGTTAGATGAACATGTTCGACCAAGTTTCTGAATTATTCTTTAAAGGACTGCTGGCCATTGTTGTTGCCAAAGTTATTGCATGGAAACTAGGACCAAGTTATTAATCCAGTGAGACAGTATCCTAATTGGAGTCATATGGTGGGTATTGAAAGAAAGATAATTATGGGGAAACTGTGACCATCAATACCATATTCTGTTCAATTTCGTAGTACTTGGATATCATGAGTGTGTGTCACATATGAGGAGAAGATCAGATGTTCCATTTATTGAAGGTTATGAATAGTTGTCAATAACTTGGAAGCCCTCCTAGAATTTGGTTGCCTAAGTTTCTCAGATTTGGCATTGAAAACGTATGCCATAGTAGTTCGTTGTTGATTTTGTTCCATTGATGATCTGATCTCAACTAAGGGTCGTGCTTGGACAAACAATTTCAACATTTCTCAAGGTGATGCTTTGGAGTTGTTAGAATCAGGAGTGGTGTACCAATCCAATCCTGTGATCGATCAGTTTATATTTGGGTTCGTATTGGCCATGCATCTTTTCTTCTTGAGGTTACCTGGGAACATCAATTCAGTTTTCTTTTGGCTTTGGTGCCTTGGAGATTCAGTGAACTTGTTTGCTGCTTGTGTTTCATCCACCTATTATCCCAAGTTACATATTCAACTGAACATAAGGTGACTGAGGGGCATTTAACAGAAGCTTGGACAATGTGTCATGGCTAGTAAGTTATAACATTTATGTTCAGCTAGATGTCTGATAACCACTCTATACAAGATTACTTCCATATAAAAAATAAATAGTCTAGATGATTTCATCAGTTACCTTTTTATGGGCTACTTTTCCATTTTTTGCTAATTTTCCTTTCTCTAGAGTCGGTTATTATTTTCCTGGTTGTTCTAAACAAAAAATGCATAATTGTGAATATTATGCATTTTGTATTAGTGTCTGGATTGACCTTTGCATCAAAATACTTATTACGACTGTCTTTCATGTTTACTCTTGTTGCTTGAAGTGGATGGAAGAGAAGTGTATTCCTTGTAATATTATACTTTTGTACTTGAAGTGCTTTTTTACAGTTGGTTCTATATTGTTTTAGGCGTTTTTTAATTTTGCCTTTGGGTAATGTATATTTCTGGCCATGATTGCTAAATTTGCTCAACTCTTGTAAATGATTTGCTGATTAGTCTACTTTGGTCCATATCAGGGTGCAATTTTCTTGGCCTTCCCTTTCAATAGGATGCTAATAATTTCAAACTAATACATTTGGGGTCAAAAATAAATCATTGTTATTCAATCATATGATGTAGGAGTCCAGTCCTAGAGCTTGGATCCGTGAATTTAGACTATAGGATGTCACATATATCTTAGAGATGTTTTACAGTGTTGAAGGTGACCGAAAGGCATCAATATTACCTGGTCTCGCTATGAAATACCTGCAGCAGTGTTCAGATGTGGTACATTGATATAATTTGGCTCAACTATCACCTGAAGCATAAACACTGTAACCTTATGATTCCATTGAGCGGAGGGCCTAATTAAAAAAATTTAAAACTTTCAATGGGCTAGGATATTTGGATAAGCGATTGCATAACAACAAAAGGAAATATTCATTTTTTTTTTTGGTTTTAATGAAATTCTTTTTAACTCCAAAGTGTGGTTGGTTGTTTAGATTTTGAGAAATAACATTATTGACACTTTTTAATGTTTTACTCCATGGATTACCTCCATTCATTTTTTCGATAAGAAAACATAATAACAGTATTATTGTTGCACATTTCCTACACATTCTCTTATTCACCTTTACACATGTTTCTAATTACTAACCATTCCAATATTACATCGATATCAAATAAACTTATTATTACATTTCAAATGCCCAGTCACTCTTACGCTTATTTTCTTATGAGCTTGCTTTCACCGCCATGAAGTTGTATGAAAAGTTCTCGAAATACTAATTTCTAATGGGAAGCCTAATACTAATTGCTAAATATAGCATATTTGTGATTTGGAATTTAGGATGTAGAGGGATATTGATGAATTTATGAATCCATGTTCATTGAATTTAAAATGCTTGTAACATCTGGTGAGATCCTATTTAAGTCCATGTTCGTTGATCACATCGGCCAAAGTGATGCTTTTGGTTGTTTATTTGAGTTTCTGTTGGATCATATTTCGATCTATGACATGTGCTTGTTGGGGCATTTTATTTTTTCTAGATGTAAAAAGTACCCATCGATGGAACTCCGAGGGCTTTTCCAGTATCTCGTAAACCAATTGAAGAAAGGGAATGGGATCGAGCTTGTTCTTCTGCAGGTTGTGTATATTACTAACCTTTTCGCCTTTGTGTCAAAGTATTTTTTATATTTATTTCTGGGGATGCTTTATATGATCTAAATATGTTAGATTTGTTTCCCAGTCCTTATTTGTTAGTTGTTACTAATATTTGTGCATGTAATTTTCCCTTGATGCTCTGTAGGAACTTATACAGCAGATGGCTAATGTCCTGTATACTGAAAACATGACAGAAGATCAATTGGATGCCATGGCAGGAAGTGACATGCTCCGTTACCAGGCTACATCATTTGGTGTTACGAGGAATAACAAGGTTCTTTTGAACGTACAATCTCTAAAATCATGCAATTACCTTATGGTGGTAAAATACAGAAAATTAATGCAAGATACGTCTGATGGACCTCCTTCGTCCCTACACACAGGCGGAGTGTTAATTTCAGTAATTTTTATGATGGAGGGTTACATAAAACAGTATTATTTGAATCAGAAAGATGACTGCTGCGACAACCGAGTGGATTGAATTTCTTACCCTTGCTTCTTTGGAGTCTGTGTTTAGAATAGTGTTGCTCTCATCTTTGAATTTAAGTGTAATATAAAACAACTTCAACTGGGCGATCAGCAGCTTGTCTAGCAGATAATTCATTTAGTTTTAACTGTTGGTATAGATATACTCTATTGCATATGTGACTTCTCTTGTGATTTTTGTGTTTCTTATCTACATTCGTCATTATTTTTATTATCACATACTAGCCTAAAAGGAGAACATTGTTTTTGTCTCTGTGCATATTAGCCTAATAAGGAGAAATTATGCTAAAAAAAAAGAAAAATGGCTGATGGTTCTCTGTGCATCTCCTTTTACCATATGGAAAATTTCTTAGCACTTTTTGAATTGTTTCGTAATCTCTCCTGTCAACAGATTACGATACACTGTATGGAAAAGTCAGATTCATTAATTTTTCTGTGTTTAGTATCTTCTTATGTTTCACATTCTACATTTGTTCCTCTCAGGGAGATAGTGATTAGAGCAGGAGAGATAGTTTCCTTTTTTGCCATAGCGATTATAACTCTTTAATGATCCTTTCCATTTTGGTGCGATCTGATGTATATTCTGTGTAATAGTGTGCGGCGGCTCATTTATGGAGTTGGTTTGGAATCTTCTCCTAACTCTGAAGATAACCATCATCTACACATAAGTGGTTTTAATATTTGAGAATTTTATTCTGTAACTCTGATAATTTGGATAGTCTGCATATAATTTATGAGTGAAACAATTCCATCTACCAGCTTCAACATGTGTGCGAAATTGTCCTCTTAGTTTTGACATCGGCGCTCATGAATTTTCAAGTGCTTATGTTTTGGATTTCTCTGCATCTTTCAGGCATTGATTAAGTCTACCAACAGACTTAGAGATTCTTTACTTCCAAAGGAAGAACCCAAATTGGCGATTCCCCTTTTACTTCTGATTGCCCAGCATCGTTCTGTGTAAGATCTTCTGTTTTTAGTAGAAAAGTTTGCAGTTAGTTGTATCATGGTGGATTTGTGTCTGTATTTTTTATTTTTTATTTTTGATAAAAATGATGAAGTTAATTTTCTCTTTGATGTACAATACTACAATGTAGACATGGTAATTTCACTTAATAACTTAATTGGTATTATGTCCCCTTACGGATATGATGCATCACTTTAGAAGCGAATTTGGATTTTTAAACTGCTCAAAAAGCTACAATTTATACGTACATTTTTCTATGTAGGGTTGTCATTGAAGCTGATGTGCCATATATCAAGATGGTCTGTGAACAGTTTGACAGATGCCATGGAACTCTTCTTCAGTATGTGGAGTTTCTTTGTAGTGCAGTGACGCCTACATCAGCTTATGCTTTGCTGGTTCCCACTCTTGATGAACTTGTCCATCTTTATCATCTTGATCCTGAGGTTGCATTAATTTCTGCTGTTTGATTCTTCCAAGCAAGCATTGTTTTATTATTCGTTGCAATTAAAGAATGTATATTGAAAGCAAATATTGGATGTGTGGTGCTTAGAACTTTTGTCCTTGTTCCATTTGTTTAGGTTGCTTTTTTAATATATCGGCCAGTGATGAGGCTCTTCAGGTGTCAAAATGTTTCCACCTCCTTTTGGCCTTTACACTGTAATGAAGATGTGAACCCTGCAGCTTGTGAACGTGAATCTTCAGCTTTATCCACCACATTGGTTTTGGACTTGGGATCTTCTCGCCAGCCCATCTCGTATTTCCTTCAACACATTTCCCCATTTAATTTTCTTTCAAGTTTTGGTTATCTTTATCAGCATTCTGGTTACCAACTTTTTAAGTCTCAATCTTTGAAACTTCATGTGCAGATGGTCCAATCTTCTTGATACTGTTAAGACAATGTTGCCTCCAAAAGCATGGAATAGCTTGTCTCCTGATTTATATGCAACATTCTGGGGTCTTACTTTATATGATCTCTATGTTCCTAGAAGTCGATATCAATCTGAGATTGCAAAGCTGCATGCTTCTCTTAAAGCTCTGGAAGAACTGCCAGATAATTCTAGTTCAGCAATTGCTAAAAGGAAAAAGGAAAAAGAAAGAATTCAAGAATCTCTGGATAGATTGACTCTGGAATTTCAGAACCATGAAGAACACGTTGAGTCTGTGCGTCGTCGACTTGCTCATGAGAAGGATACATGGTTGAGTTCTTGCCCAGATACTTTAAAAATTAACATGGAGTTTCTTCAGCGCTGTATATTTCCTCGTTGCATGTTCAGTATGCCTGATGCTGTATATTGCGCCAATTTTGTAAATACACTACATTCACTGGGAACTCCATTTTTCAACACTGTGAACCACATTGATGTTCTGATATGTAAAACTTTGCAACCAATGATATGCTGCTGCACTGAGTATGAAGTCGGCCGACTTGGGAGATTTTTATTTGAGACTCTGAAAACTGCTTATCATTGGAAGGTAATTGGCATGCTGTTTTTAACCTTCTTTGAAGTTCATTTTTCTGGGGATCCATCTAGAGATTTTTATGTAGAACACACTTTTGTATGCATTTTATTTTATTTTATTTTTGTTATTGCTATTTTATGGTATAATGTGTTTGTAACTAAAACTTTTTTCTGTAGAGCGATGAATCAATATATGAAAAGGAGTGTGGAAACATGCCAGGATTTGCTGTTTATTACAGATATCCAAACAGCCAGCGTGTAACCTATGGTCAATTTATCAAGGTAGTTAATGGTTAAGTGACAATTTGTTAGTCATGTAGTTTATTACTTTATGGACTTCATTTATCACTGCTAATGTAATTGGTATTGATCCCATAAGCTTTGACTTCATGCTTTCAATTATACACCTAGAAGTGTCTTCATTTAATAAACAAAATTGTTCCATACTTCCATCTGTAGACATGATTTCATACCAAGAAGATTTCTCTTCCTCGTGCTTCTCATTTCTATTATGAAATTGGCAGAATTACTCATTTCACTTTGGTTTATACTATCTTGTGGATATTATCTTCTATGCTCCAATTATTTTCTGCACCACTGATATTATTATACCTTTGCTTTGCGCCATTTTCAAGTTTAACTTCAGGTGTTTTGCCTGTTTTATGCCTACGGTTTCTGAATTTAACTTACTTAACTGGTTTAATGTGTTATACTTTTTGCTTCTGACACCCTTATGCAATCATGAGTTCTCATAATAACTTTTATGTCATTTGCATTCTATGAGTAATCTTATACGAGGTTTGAAGTAGTAAAATCAAGTGCCAGTACATTACTTTGTGGTGTTCTTGCAAATTCTCCTTTTATTTGTTTGTTTTTGCGTTGGATGGTTAACTTATTCAATTGTTTTTCCTTATTATATTGCCTGTATTGGATAGAAATGTTTTTTTTTTCCTTGTCTTGGATTGTGATTTTATAATACTACTTAAATGATTGTTGGTGAGCTGATATATTTTCTATATTTTAAAGAGATTCATTGGAGAAAAAGTTTTGCTATAGTCTGCAATTTCATCCATGTCCCTTTTCTAAGTGCAAGCACACAAGCTCAACTATTTCGAATGATGTTGGTGATCTGTGTTATGTGTTTGTTATCTGAACTGTGGATTTGTATATAAGAAGTTGGAATATCACTTGTGAGTTGTCCCACATTGAGTAAATATGGATCTAGTTTATAAGCCTAGTGGGCTACTTCTCCTACCATCACTTGGTTTTAGGATGGAACCTTACTTAGGTGGTAACTATGCTCACCCTCTTAAGGTGCGCTTCACCCCTATGGGACTGCATCCCCCTTCCCCCATATATATACATATAATGGAAGTATTTTACTCATATGGATATGGTATACCATCACTATTTTTATTGTACTATTTTAGTTAATGAATATGATCCAGAATGAAAGCTAATCAGATCTTGAAATGGGGAACAGTTTGGAACTTTTCATCTGCTGTTCTCAGCGATATATTCTTGTTGGATAGAACTTGATCACCTGCATAGTTAAAATTACTGGTGGTATGTAGCTGATGCATATGTTCGCAAAATTTGACCATCATTTTTTCTGGTTTAACATGTGACATACGTTGTCAATCAGTCAAGATGAGGATTTGATTTTATGCTGGTTAGAGCTGGTGCTATCGTTTTCTCTCAATTTGTTTACTACAAACTTTTTTCTTGCTTGAAGGTACATTGGAAATGGAGCCAACGAATCACTAGACTGCTGATTCAGTGTTTGGAATCGACCGAGTATATGGAGATAAGAAATGCTCTTATTATGCTTACTAAAATCTCAAGTGTTTTCCCTGTTACTCGGAAGAGTGGGATCAACCTTGAGAAACGGGTAAAGTTCATGACTGGTTTTTGTCATTGACTTGTCAGTGATTTGCGCTTTGACTAAAGCATAGTTTTGTTCACTGTGCACAGGTGGCTAAAATTAAAAGTGATGAAAGGGAGGATCTCAAAGTTTTGGCCACTGGTGTTGCTGCAGCATTGGCTGCTAAAAAGGTAAATTATAATGGATTGTTCCAGATTTATCTTTTTATGTGTTAAATCATCCACAATTCAGTCGATATACTTTGCTAGTAATTTCCATTCTTGTAGTTCTTAGTTTTTCTCAAGGGACACCATCTTTTAGTTTTATTTCTAATATTTTATGGGTTGCTTGTCCAAGCACAGTAAAGTGTTTTTTGTAAACTGAAATATCTGGTTGTTAGAGGGGTATGCTTCAGATCATTGCTGTCTGGCCACCATATTCTATGAGCAGTATAGATGTATCCATGTATTTGTTTCCTTTGGAGATATGTATTCTGATTTCTTTGTGATCTATGGTATTGGCAGCCTTCATGGGTTACAGATGAGGAATTTGGCATGGGTTATCTTGACTTGAAGCCTGCTCCAGTGCCTGCTTCTAAGCCTTTATCTGCAAATGTTGGTGCTCTTCAGAATGGGGCTGGTCCTAGTTCTTCTCAAGCTGAGCAGGTTGGCGGTAGAACTGCTACCTCGGGAAGCTTGTCAGATCATGGGAATTTGGGCAGAGAGCCTAGAAGAACTGATGGTAAGAAGAGTAGGAAATATCTTGCTGACATTTGAGCCATCTTAAAATTGAAATTGAAAGTTGGATCAATTAATGGGTCTGATCAAACCTTCTTTACCGTCGACGGGTGTACAATCTGGAATTTCGCGCCCAGACAATCATAAACAGGTGGATAATCTGGCCAGCAAACAGTTAGAAGAAAACACGAAAGTTGCTTCAAAGACATCTGTGGAAGCTGAGGTAGTGATTAATCAATTTTGGATTGTTGTGCAAACACCCTCCCCCCAGATAGTGGTTTTAAGTTAAAAGATTAATCTGTTTAGCGCCACTAGATTTCAGTGTCATAATTTGTATTTGCTGTATGATGAAAGTTATGTAGGGATGAGGTCGTTTCAACTTTCAAGTATTTATCTCTTAGATTGTGGATGCATATTTCATGATTTGTAAGTCAAATAGATGCCCTATTGTCATGAGGATTATAAACCAATTTCGGAAGGGTCCTTCTTGGAAAATGCTAACTATAGGATAAGGGAAGATTATATGTTATGTTGTCTTTATTTTGTTATTTTGTGGGCTTCTTTGAACATTTTCCTTTTTTCATATGCTACAATTGTTTTCATTTGGATTTGCATCCTTGGTTGACATTTAGTGATGCTTCAGTTTGCATATTGAATTTGCTGAAGTGTGTCATGAACCATCACTTCTTAAATGCTCTGCTCTCCTTTTATAGTTTTAGGGCCATGGATTACAAAGCGAACAAAATTCCTGCCAGGTTCATCTTTTTGTCGATCTAAGTAGTGTACTAAGTGTTATCAAAATCTGATGAACACTTCAATTGTACTCTTTGTTGTTCCGATCTTAAAAAATATTAGTAAAATTCTTTCACATTTCATGGTTTACTTCTTATATATGATTTGTTATCTTATCTATCTATCATTACACCGATTTTCACTTACTTTTACACTGTGATTATATTCTGTCTTTTTAACTCAGGCAAGGCCCACAGTGAAAAGGTCTGCTGCGGCCTCATCCCACGCAAAGCAGTCAAAGACGGATATACCCAGAGATGAGGATAAATCTGGGAAAGCTGTTGTCCGAACTTCCGGCTCTTCCGGTAGAAACTCCTTTTTTTCTCATTTATTTTCACGGCAGATGGCTAGACAAATTTACTCATGCTTCTTTTCGACCTCCAGGGAATTCCGCCATGCTTACTACACAAGCTAAATTACCAAACTCTTCCACCCGATCCTCAGATCACAGCACCGAATCAAAATCAGAGGCCGCCAACACAAGGTCTTCCGACTCTAGGGCCCACGGTGGAAAAGATGAGGGCACCGAATATCAGGATTCGCTCAAACAGCCAACTTCCAGGTCAGCTCATTCCCCCCCTTTACCTTCAAAGTCCGTCGAGAAATCCCAAAAAAGGTCAAGTCCGGCCGAAGAACACGACCGGCTGAACAAACGCCGGAAGAGCGAAACTACTGAGTCGAGGGACTTTGATGGTGTTGACATACGATTGTCCGAAAAGGAGAGGTCAACAGATGAGCAGAGGCCTGTAGACAAGCCTCTGGACAGAGCAAAAGAAAAGACTGGCGGTGAAAGATATGATAGGGACCATAGGGAAAGATTGGAGCGTAGCGAAAAATCGCGCGGTGACGATGTTTTATCTGAAAAAACAAGGGATAGGTCGATTGATAGGGTGAGTAAGGATGAAAGGAACAAAGATGAACGTGGTAAAGCGAGATACAGTGATGCGGACGAGAGGTTTCACGGGCAGAGCTTGCCACCGCCGCCTCCATTGCCACCTCACGTGATCCCGCAGTCCTTAGGCTCGGGGAGGAGGGATGATGATGGTGACAGGCGGTTTGGGAATGCCAGGCACGGCCAAAAACTTTCGCCGAGGCATGAGGAGAGAGAGAGGAGGAGATCTGAAGAGAATGCTTCTGCTGCTGCTCCACAAGACGACACGAAACGGCGGAGAGAAGATGAGATTCGAGATAGTAGGAAGCGTGACGAACGTGATGCCGTTGGCCCTGTCAAGGTATAGCAGAAAATTGCTTATCAGTTGACGACTTCAATAATTGATTTTATTTTTATTTTTTTTGTCTGAGTTGTGCGGTTCTCTACTTTTTGAGTTTTATATTTGCATCGGTGGCGGATTAGGAAAAAAATAGGAATAATTAAATCCATGTTACGGTGCTGGTCGTGCCTCAACCACCTGATTGCTGTCTTGTGTTCATGAACATGTGATCAAATTTAATTGTCGGGGAGAAATAATGATTACTGACGGGTTGAGGTATTGGGGGTTGCCGGCCATTGATTGTTCGGCCTCTGATTATCAATAGATGTTTGATCTCGTAAGACATTCCATTAATGACCAAAGGCTTTCCTTGTTGAGAGATTGTGTTAATTATTACTTTTTTTTGGAGGAAGAACACTCTGTGGTAGTAACAACTAACAACTACTCATATCACAGTTATATATCTTTTTTCTAATACAGTTTTGAGTTTTACATGTAGATGGATGAGAGGGAGAGAGAGAAAGGAAACACGAACAAGGAGGATATGGATAATGCTGCTTCCAAGAGGCGGAAACTGAAAAGGGAGCATATAGCATCAGAACCTGGCGAATATTTACCAGCAGGCCCTCCCCCTCTTTCGATCAATTTGTCACACGACGCAAGAGATGGTAGGGGTGATCGTAAGGGGGTTATTGCCCAACGTCCTGCTTATGCAGACGAGCCTGGAATGAGGGCCCACAGCAAAGAGGCCGCCAGCAAGACAGCTCGTCGTGATGTTGATCCGTATCCTTTACCATATGTTTTTAATTTATCGACTTCATTTGGAAAATGCACTCTTGTAGGTCATATATGATATATGCGTAAGTCTATATTTTTAGGATGAATTACATAGTCAAATTACCAATATATCTGGTTTTTTTCTAATATTTACAGTAATTCCTTGAGGCTACGAGTATCCGCTTTGATTGTGCTTTTATTTTATATTTAGACCTTTGATAGCTACAACTTGTGTCATTGAAAAAAATGTCCAAGCCAGTTGCAGTTTAAATGATTTTGACATATGAATTTAGCAGCATGTTGTTCTTAGACCACTAGACCATTTACAGGACCCGAAAACTTTATATTCGAATGCCTTAACTGTCATAATCAGGATATATGAGAGGGAATGGGAAGATGACAAGAGGCAGAGAGCTGAAGGAAAGAGGAGGCACCGTAAATAGTTCAAAAAAGATGCTGACTTGCCTGCGGTGAAGTAATTGTCTGGTTAGCAAAATCCAAATTATTCGTGCGTTTGTTTCTGGGCCCAATTTATGGTCCATTTTGAAATTTCAGGGTAACTGCTTTGGTATATTTTGAGGTATGTTGATTGATTAGAAAGTGTTGGGAGTTGTGGATGTTCATTTCTGTAATCATATATGTACGGGGTGAAAATTTTTCGAGGAAATGCGTGTATTAATTACCTTTCTAACTTCAAATGGTTTGGAAGGGTCATCTTGAAGTGAGGATGGATCGTTGTCTTATGTCTTGGCTCTCTTATATCTTGTTTCGATTGCATGTCCGTTCAAATTTCAAATGATTCAATTGTGGTTGGAAACACCTATCGACCGGATTTGTTGAGTTCTTGACGCCAAACTAATAAAAGCATTTGTTGCTTACTGAGATGTCCCTTTCGCAGTTGCTTACTGAGACGATAATTTATAAAAGTGTCATAATTTTCAGTGTTCATCAGTGTTTAAATAACCATAATACCATGCTGGTAATCGTAATTGTCTAGCCACAAGTATGTAGTGTTGTCAGTCCATTTGGTAATATTGATTGTATTAGCGGAATAACGAATACAATCGAATCTTAAGATTATATATAAATAAATTAAAATAAAATAACTATATTTATTAAGTTTAAACTTCTCAATAAGATATAAACAAGACTATCAATTTTAAATTTTAAAAGTAATGATTAATTTCTTTGAGTATAATCTTCAATTGTTTTTATTTATTGATTCATGCTTTGTCTAGTATATTTTGGTATTCTTTTCGATATTTATAATGAATTTTTGGTTGATATAAATTTTGGTGATGAATGTTTTTAGCTGATTGAATTTAGTAAAATAAATTAATTAATTTATTAAATTTTTCATTGCAGAAACGAAATAAAATATAAAACGAATGAAGTCTTAACGATAAATTTAATCATGTAAGATGATTCAAGAATGATTTTCATTCCTTTGATTTTGACGTTAATAAAAAACATTCATATCCGTTGGAGCCCAATATATCAATAGCATTGCAAAATTCTTCTTAATTCATTTGGCAGAACTTGTACTTTGTTTAAAGACTGAGAAATATTTTGACCAAACATATAAAAACTTCATGATTGTAAGATGTTCATTTGTCATGGAACCTTCATTTGAACTCGTCCAATGCATTTTTGTCCCAAAATCCCTTCCCAAGACCGGTCCAAGGAGCCTTTAACAGCACCCTTAATTATCGGCCAAATAACTCCCTCCAGCCGCCAGCCTAGCCAAGGAAGCCCTAACCAACTCCCCCAAATCCGGCTCCCTCACCCCACGCGGCATCTCTCTCCCAGTAGCCCTAGACTTCCCTTATTTAAGTCAAGTTCAGCCCCAACCGCCTCCTCATTTGCTCCATTTGAAAGCACTCTAAAATATTCGAAGTCCCTCCACAAAAATCCCCACAGCAAGGTAAGCACCGTCTGCATGACCAAGGCAGGCCCGGAGTACCAACACAGAACGTGAGAAGGCGAGCTATTTCCAGTGCAGCCGATAGGAGAACCGAGCACGCCGGTGCTGAAGGAGACCAGCACCACCGGGCACCTTGGAAGCATGCAGCGGAGAACCGAGAACCTTCAGTAGCATCGAAAGCACCCAGCCTTTGTAGCAGTCGAGCCTTGTCTACCCGAGATAAACCGAGAAATCCCTGCAGCAGCCTAGCCATCACCGAGCCAGGGCTAAGATTTTGCAGCCAAGGGTAGTCGAGAGCAGCCGAGGATAGTCGAGAATTCCCAAAAACACCCCAAGCCATTTCAGCCCTTATTCCTTCATCTTTTTCCCGAGAAAGGTATCCTTGCCTGGAACCTAAGTTTTTCCATGTCTTGGCCGAGTTTATTGAGATGATAATTTCAATGAAAAAGAGTTTAAAGTGCATGCTTAAGAATTAATAATATTTAAGAAGAAAAGAAGAAGAAGGAAATTAGTTTGTGGCTTCGTGTTCATTTAATTTCTAAGCCGTGGTTAATATCTACTTATGCTGCAAATATGAGATTGAATTTCCAGTTAAGATAAATGAATTTGCATGCTTAAGAGTTTAAGAGCATGCTTGGATACAAAATTTCTCAAAAAATCAAAATATTTTTAACTCAACCACTTTTTTTTAACTAACGAAAAAGCTTACACAATCACAGAAATGGAAGAATATATGTTGCAAAATCAATAAAAGAGAATTCTCATTGCTTTCTTCAGTGCAGCACACTACTAGTATATATACATCTTAAGAGAATAATCTAGAACTAGGATAAGGAATATGCTGAGGTTCCTTTTGTCTTTTCCTTGTGATGTCACGATGATGTCATCAGGTAAAAATGGTTTCACTTTTGGTGAAAGTGGAGTATGCCTCGTCCTTTTACTGTGCATGGCAACTGCATGTTGTCCTTCATCAAATGCAGCTTTCCTTTGCTGAGTCACCAAATCCTTGGACTGCATATTAGGATCATAATCAAGGCTAGACTGTATTTTAGCAACACCATTAGCATTAGCCTCTTTAATACTCTCCCTGAATTCAAGTGCTCTTTTAGGAATCACATTCAGTTTGTTCTTCATGAGCACAAAGAATTGTCCTGTAAGAGGCTTGGTAAAACAATCTGCAATTTGATCCAAACTAGGAACATGATGGACAAATATCTATTTCTTTATCACTCTATCTCTCACAAAATATAGGTCCAATTCAATGTGCTTGGTCCTTGAGTGTTAGACAGGATTAGCTGCAAGTGAGACAGCCCCTTGATTATCCACCCAAACTATTGGTGTTCTTGAAGGTTTGAACCCCAACTCATTCATTAGAGACTGAATCCATGTCACCTCACAAGTTGCATTTGCCAAACTTCTATACTCAGCCTCTGTGCTTGATCTAAAGACTGTGGGCTATTTTTTTGAACTCCAAGAGACAAGATTATTGCCAAGATACACACAATAACCACTAACTGACTTCCTATCATCCAAGTCAGTGGCCCAATCAGCATCTGCAAATGCATTAATATTCAATTCCTTAGAATTTGTGAAATGCAGCCCATGATCTCTTGTTCCTGAAAGGCACCTAAGGATTCATTTGACTGATCTCCAATGATCATCCAATGGATTCTGCATGAACTGACTTACTTTGTTAACAGCAAAGCATATATCTGGCCTTGTAATGGTTGCATATTGCAATGCACCAACAATACTTCTGTACAATCTACCATCTTCAACAGGTTGACCTTTGAACTTTGATAGGTGTTGTCCTGAAAGCATTGGACGGTTCAATCCTTTAGCTTCCAACATGTTTACTCTTTTCAGAATTTCCTCAATATATGTTTCTTGACTTAGAAACAATCCTTTGGAAGTATGAGTGAAGTGAACACCAAGAAAATAGTTTAGTACACCAAGGTCTTTCAGGGAGAAGTGGTGGTTTAAGAAATCAATGACCCTTTGAATTTCAAAGCTGCTGGATCCAGTAATAATGATATCATCAACATAAGTCAAGAAAAAAGTGGTGGAAGCTTCAGAATGCTTGAAGTACAAAGAAGAATATGCTTTTGAAGTTTGAAAACCCAAGGATAGTAAAACTGAAGCAAATTTAGATGTCCAAGCCCTTGAAGCTTGCTTAAGACCATAGAGGGATTTGTTCAGCTTGCAAACCATTCCTTCCCCTTGAACAAAGCCCGGGGGTTGTTCCATAAACAAGTCAATATCAACATCTCCATTTAAGAAGGCATTATCAACATCAAGCTGCCTAATGTTCCAATTATGAGCCAATGCAATAGATAGAACAACTCGGATAGTAACAGGTTTGATAACTGGACTAAAAGTATCTGTATAATCAAAACCAGCAATTTGAGTATAGCCCTTAGCCACTAACCTTACTTTGTATTTAGCAATAGAGCCATTTGCATGTCTTTTGAGTTCTAAAACCCATCTGCTACCAATAGCAGTCTTATCAGGTGGTAAGGAGGATAGAGTCCATGTATTATTTTTTAGTAGAGCTTCATACTCTTTATGCATAGCTTCTTTCCAGAGAGGATGAGTGAGAGCCTGTTGATAGGTAGAAGGCTCAGTTTGAGATAGAGCATGAAACACTTTAGGCTTGAAGATCCCAGCCTTGGATCTTGTAAGCATAGGATGTTGAGATGGAATTGGTGGAGAGGCAGCATCTGACCTGTGAGAACCTGCAAACTCATCAGCTAAAGGTAAGGGATCAGAGGTAGTATCATTCTCAATTGGTAAATCAATGTATAGTTGCCCATCAGAAACATGTAGGGGTTGAGAAGATGAGGAAGATTGAGATTGGTGAAGGGGACTAGGAGGGGAAGGATGGGAAGGAGACTGAGGATGTGAAGGTGAAACAATTGTAGGTGGTGGTGGTAAAAAAGATAAGGGAGCTGAATCTGAAGTAGGAGTGTAAATGGATGATGGTGAAAGATAGGAAAGACAGTTTCTTCAAAAATGATGTCCCTTGTGATGATAACCTTCTTATTAGGAAGAAGAACTTTATATCCTTTGTAAAAGGGACTGTATCCAAGAAAAACTCCTTTGTCTGATCTGAAGTCAAGTTTGCTCCTATTGAAAGGCCTTAAGTGAGGATAACACAAACAACCAAAGATTCTCAAGGTTCTGTAGTTTGGTGGCCTTTTATGCAGAAACTCATAGGGTGTTTGGAAGTTCAAAACTTTGGTTGGGGTCCTGTTGATGAGGTAAGTGGCTGTAACAAAGGCATCATCCCAGTACTTTTGTGGGACATGGGATTTAGCAAGCAAGGATAATCCTACCTCTACAACATGCCTATGTTTTCTTTCTGCTAGGTCATTTTGGGCTGGAGTGTAGGGACAAGAAATTCGATGCATGATCCCATTATCAGAAAAGAACATCTTTAATGCCATGTACTCAGTACCACCATCACTTTGAACACACTTAATTTTCATGCCAAACTGAGTTGCAACATATTTATGGAAGTGAAGGAAGGCTGTAAACACCTCAGATTTCAGCTTAAGTAAGTATATCCATGTGTGTCTACTAGCATGGTCAATAAAAGAGACATAGTATTTGAAACCATTGGTAGAAACAAGGGGAGATGGTCCCCACAGATCTGTATGAATAAGCTCAAAAAGATCATAATTCTTTATTTCAGCATCAGAAAGTGGGAGTTTGTGGCTTTTGGATTTCATACAAGCCTCACATACATAACTTTCCTCAATATCAGCATAGGCTGTATTACTATTTTCTAATGCTTTCCTTACAACATCGTAGGAAGCATGACCTAACCTACTGTGCCAAATATCAAGTTTAGTCTTGTGTTGAGCTGCATTCACCCAAATGGACTTATTTTGAGCTGATGGATAAGTGCTGACTGGTGAATCATTGGACCTTGAAAGCTTCAAATTGTAAAGGCCATCTTCAACTTTCCCTTTGAGAAGAATTTGTCCTGACTGAAGATCCTTCACAACACAATGATGAAGATGAAATTCAAAATAAACTTTGTTGTCTTTGGGAAACTGAGAGACACTTAAGAGGTTCTTTTTGATGCTGGGCACATGCAGCAGGTTTTTTAAGAGAAATGTATTAGATGAATCTAAAGAGCTAACAATTGAATTACCATAATGAGAAATCAACAAACCTGTACCATTACCCATATGGACTCTCTCTGAACCTTGATATTCTGATCCAAGATTCAAGTTGTTGAAGTCATAGGTGATGTGACTGTTGGCACCTGAGTCAGGGTACCATGATGTTTCTGAGGCAGTATCATTCATGGAGCCTGCAACACTTTGAGTTGTGGTTTGGTTGACAGCAGCAAGGTTAGTGTGCATTTGGTTCTGGGAAAAGGATTGGTTGCTGTTGTGATTGTTGGGTGGAACATATCCAAGATCAGCTCTATAAAAGCACCTCTCAGCTGTATGGTTGTTTCTATGACAAATCTGGCATTTTGGACCTCTATTTATCCTTCCTCTTCCTCTGCCATAACCTCTTGCTGACCTTCCTCCACCTCTTCCATAGCTGGACATAGTATCTGACCCTCTTCCTCTGTTACCAGTAAAGTTCCTTTGAAAGTTCCTTTGAAAGTTCCCTTGTGTTGAGAAATTGGCTGTGGGAATGGATCCTTCAAGATTCACTTGAGCTTGTTCAAATTTCTCAAGTCTGGCTTCAATGGTGAGTAAGTGTAAGGTGACCTCTGCAATGGACATTGAATCTGCTCTTGAAGATATGGTGACCACAATGGGGTTGTACTCTGGTCCAAGTCCTTCCATGATATGAAGAAGATGATCCTCAAGAGATACTTTACTACCAGCTGCAGCAAGAGCATCACAGATCCCTTTGAGTTTGTTGAGATAATCTCTCATGGTCTGACTTTCTTTCTTGCTGGTTTGTAGCTGTTCTTTGAGCTGCAGGATCTTGGCCCTTGATTGGCTCGAGAAGCTTTCTTCCAAGGTGTGCCAGATCTCATGAGCTGAGTTCAGTCCTACCACTGTGATCAAAATGCTCTCCGAGAGAGATGAGAGTAGCCATGACACAATAAGCTGATCTTGCTTGATCCAATTTGTATACTGTGGATCTGGGCTTCCATCTTGCATGGACTGGCTGCTTGGTCTTTTTTCTTGGCCATTGAGGTAGCCTTCTAGGCCATATCCCTTCACAGTTGCAAGGATCTGGTACCTCCATATGATGTAGTTGCCTTCATTTAGCTTCACTGTGATAAGTTGGCTGAGAGGTTGCAGGATTTGATGAGGGTTTGAGGTAACTTCTGAGGATATACTCATGGTGAAATGGATTCGAGGAAGATGGGGTCTGGAGATTTAATATATTTTGTTTTGTTTTTTTAAATCAGGCCCCAGGGTTAAACCCGGGGCTCTGATACCATAATGAAAAAGCTTACACAATCACAGAAATGGAAGAATATGAATTTCATGTTGCAAAATCAATAACAGAAAATTCTCATTGCTTTCAGTGCAGCACACTACTAGAATATATACATCTTAAGAGAATAATCTTGAACTAGGATAAGGAATATGCTGAGGTCCCTTTGTCTTTTCCTTGTGATGCCACGATGATGTCATCAGGTAAAAATGGTTTCACTTTTGGTGAAAGTGGAGTATGCCTCGTCCTTTTACTATGCATGGCAACTGCATGTTGTCATTCATCAAATGCAGCTTTCCTTTGCTGAGTCACCAAATCCTTGGACTGCATATTAGGATCATAATCAAGGCTAGACTGTATTTTAGCAACACCATTAGCATTAGCCTCTTAACTCAACTTTAACTCAACCCCACTATCATCAATATAATCAATATAACTAAATAATATCAATCAATCATTCTTACACACCACCTTACCTTAATTCACTATTCATCCACTCACATAATTTTAACTAACCATCACTTCAAATCTTCTCTCTCCTACTTTACATCAAATCAACTTTAATCATTTTATTTTAAATATTATTCTAATATACCCACTAACAACTAACCATACCAACTTTCTTAAAACTAACCAAACCAAACAAAAAAATCCAAACAAAATCAAAATTTTTTATATCCAATCATCCTCTTAAAACTCAAGAAGAAAAGAGAAGAAGATTTTAGCATATTGGCCTTGAATTGTTGAAATTGGTTGAGCCGTGTTCATGTTATTGGTATGCTGTGAAAAGATACTTAATTTCAGAGAAGTAAGAACTAAAGTAATGGCCTTAAAGGCTTTATTTAAAAGTTAAGAGAAAGAAAGGAAAAGAACAATAGCCTTTGGCCTAGGTTGTTTATGTTCTACCGAACAAGTTGGCCTTGTTTAAACCTAGGATTTATAAGCTTTAAGTAGCCCCAAGGGTTGTCGGAAAAGTTTGAGTTTGCCGATGAAAGTCGTCGGGGAAGAGCCTTAGCCAGACCAGCCAACAGCAGTGACCCGAGCAGACTCGGGTCGCATTACGTAGACGCTCGTGCCAGTGCTCGCGCCCTAGCCCGTAGTGCTCCGCATACGACCGCGTGATGCTGCAGTGCTCTAATGCCCGCAGCTTCCGTGTATGGAGTATCAAGACGCCCGTGTGCCGCTGTACACAACAGACGACTGTGCAATGCGCCCAACGCTCGCATAGACCCGCAACGCCACTCCAGTGCCTCAGCGCCGTTCTAGCAGACCTGTGCCTTAGCGCCCATGCGCTATGTGTCCCAGCAGACCTGCTTCTTACAACGTCTGAGCGCCTGTGCCAAACCCATCCCGTGCGTAGTGCCATCTCGTCTCCCAGCAGTACACCAAGTTCAGTTTTAAGAAACCGGTTCTTGATTCAGGTTATGGATTTCATGACAGCTGCTTTTGGTGGTGCTACCACCTGCGCCACCGCTCCCACCTGTTGAACTCCAGTAGGATCTTGTTGCGATGGTACTGGAATTACCGTTTCCTGCGTTGCCCGAGCCTCCTGCGCACGACTCGAGCCTACGTCCGCCATTGGAACCACCGATGAAGCTCCCAAACCTTGAGGAGCAGGTGTTGGGGTCACCGGTGTCTGCAAGGTCCGGAGAAACCCGGAGGAGGGCCTTCTCAAAACAGCCTCGTCGTCGTCCAAGCTTCATCGAACAACGATTGCAAATTGATTCTAGAAATTCCATCCGCCATAGACACAAAGCTCAAACAACCTTAGAACACCACTTTTCGAATGAAAGTTCGACATACGGCGCCAAACACTCCGACTTGATGGAAATTGGTTCGCCTTCTTCCTCCTTACCGGTAGAACACTCACACCGGAGAGGTTTTCCGGTGAAGAGCCTCCGATGCTTAAGTAAATTTTTGTTCCACTCAATTCTCAAGAGTAAAAATCGATAAATCGTGTTCAAGAAGTAAAGCTCACCCCTATATATAGGGATGAGATACTTGACCTAGAAGCTGCCCGGATTTTCTGAGCTGGCTGTCTAAGTTGCCCAGGCCTGCCCGTCCGTACACACGCACACTGTGTGTCAGAATCAGTTATCACCATATACCGATTGTGTTACGCCACGTGCCCTCTGCACATGGGGTAAATATTCCCCTGAAATCCCATTGAAGGCTTTTATGCTCAACCATTTCTAGGTCGGTCCTCAGACTCAGTCTGTGAAGTGGACGATCAAATGATCATTTACTCGACAGGTTGATCTTCGACAAAATCCTCCATGGACCTGGGACCAACTTACACCCCTTGTACTGGAATCTTCCATATCATGTTCTCATCGTGTCCGACAGGTCGATTCTGTTCGACTAGGATGGTCCTCTTAGTATTGGATCTATCTGACTGGCCTAGTGAACTGGTTTACCCCTTTAGGTATATAATATCCCATATCAAACATGATATCATAACGGCCAGCTTGGTGTCATTATTGCATGTGGGATTGTGGCGGTTTTTGTACGGGTAATCGGACTCCCTCGCAATTCCCTCGTTTTGAATGATAAATTAGTAAGCCCAATCCGACGCCCCCGATTTTGTAGCTATCTTGCTTGTTTTCACAATCTATCTGTTGTTGCTCTGAAAGGGAGACAAGTTGGCCTGTAACGATCTGGTTGGTGCCCTCCACCCCGGCCACAGCAGAAAAGCCCAGAAACATCCTTAAAATTACTAAACATATATATTATTATAACATGAACATTTTTTGTTAACAATGAATAAAAAATGTTATATTAAATTGCCTAATAAAATACATAACTGATTTGGTCCTTCACAGGAGTCATCGCACCTTCACTCCTCCAGACCCAACTATCTGGTAATCATTACTAGTCACATTATTAAACCTTAAATCTTTCTTTGACCTTGTTTCCATCACGTGACAGAATGAAGGACAAAGCTCATCATCCGAAAAACCGTTGACAATGAGTTTGTAGCCATGGTCCGAGCCTGAGTTGAAGGCTTCGATTTTTCACGAGTTCTTTCTGAACATGACAAACCGCAATGCCCTTTCCGCGTTATCTTTTTACACTCGGATATGCCAAGCCGTCCAATCCTTTAATTCTTGTTCGAGAGTAACGGAGCTGTGAACGACTACGATGACTAGGAATATAGATACTACTATTACTTTCATTGAGGCTGAGAGCGGCATCGTATGTAATTTTTAGTAATGGAGCAAAGAATATTGTTGGTTGCTACTTGGTAATTATATGGTGTTGGGATTGTGGGTTATATATATATATATATATATATATATAGAGAGAGAGAGAGAGAGAGAGAGAGAGAGAGAGAGAGATTGGTTCCAATGCATCCACTTATTTAAAGTGAGGACGTGAGACTCAATTTTAGCCACACGATTTGGTACATCATGTGTGGCCAAGATTTACTCTTTTCTTTTTATTATTTTAATTATTTAAATATTATTTTGACCCGTTGACTCCAGCATTGACCGTTGACTTCCGACGTTGACTGTTGACTTTTGGCGTTGACCGTTGACTCCAGCTTTGACCGTTGACAACTAACCTTCCAACTAGGTTAGTTCTCTGTAGTTGCTAGGTTAGTTTTATGTAGTTGCTAGGCTAGTTCTCTGTATTGCTAGGTTAGTTGTCTGTAGTTGCTATGTTAGTTCTCTGTAGTTGCTAGGTTAGTTCTCTCTAGTTACTAGGTTAGTTCTCTCTAGTTGTTAGGTTAGTTCTCTGTAGTTGCTAGGTTAGTAGTTGCTAGGTTAGCTTATGTAGTTGTAGGTTAGTTGTCTGTAGTTGCTAGGTTAGAAGTTGTTAGGTTAGTTCTCTGTAGTTGCTAGGTTAGTTCTTTGTAGTTGCTAAGTTAGTTATTTGTAGTTGCTAGGTTAGTTCTCTGTAGTTGCTAGGTTACTAGTTGCTAGGTTAGTTCTCTGTAGTTGCTAAGTTAGTTCTCTGTAATTGCTAAGTTAGTTCTCTGTAGTTGCTAAGTTAGTAGTTGCTAGGTTAGTTCTCTATAGTTGCTAGGTTAGTAGTAGCTGAGTTAGTTCTCTATAGTTACTAGGTTAGTTGTCTGTAGTTGCTAAGAGCTGGGCGCATTTGATCCGCCCCCTATATATATATATATATATATATATATATATATATATACATATAGGGTTAGGATAATATGAGAATGGTAGATAGTGAAAGAAATAAGAATGAATCTGTACCGTTGGATGTAACATATTAGTGGTCACGATGAAGTCAAATATTAAATAAGGTAGTCAAACATGTGATGGCAATTCCATAAATAAGTGTACATTATGTGGTCAAATCTACACATTTGACCATTAATTAAGGGTAAAAAAGACATTACATATTAACCTATATGGGCCCACCACTAACATCACTATTACTCTCTCTTTCACATACTACACCTAAAACATGTACTCACCCACACACGCTGCACACACACAAACACACAGTACACACACACAAACCCGTCGCCGCCACCCCACCTGCACACACACAAACACACACATCACACACACGCCGTCAGCCCGTCGCCGCCACCCACCTGCCGCCACAATTTTGCCGGCGCCTCCGCCGGGGATTCCACGTTTGGAGCTTCGACTGTCCGCCTGAAGAAGGTTTTTTGCCGGCGCATCCGTCGGAGATTCCATGTATGGAGCTTCAACAGCCCGCCGGAAGAAGGCTGTGCCACCAAGACGGTCGTCGTCGATCTCCTCCCAATCTTCATCCGCCGGAGATTCCATATCTAGATCTACAACCGTCCATTGAAAAAATGCTGAGCCACCATGACGGTTGTCGTCGGCTCTGCCCAATCTTCACGCCGGTCGGTTGAAGTCTCAGCCGTAGTCCGCCAGCCCTTGTCGTCTACATCTAGTTCCTGCCGCCACCGGTGAAGCACCAGCCGTCCGCCACTTCAAGGAGGCAGAATTCCCTATCGTTTTTCCGTTCGCTGGTGAACGTCGACGTCGTACGTCATTGGACGACGTCGGCGGCAGGCAACTTTGTGATGTGGTGGATATGGCAACAAATGGTGGAGTGTTAGATTTTGGGGATTTGTTATTGAGAATTTGATTAGATGTAGGGACTTATTTGCAATTACACAAACATATAATATATTACAATTGAGGCATGGGTTGAATGTATAATTGATAAAAATATAACTATTATTTTAATAGTTGTTATTAATAGCCAGCGGAGCTAACTGGTAGAAGTGATTTAGTAATTGTTATTAATTTTAATTAATATATAAAAAAATCATAATATTATATTTTATACTTTTGTCGGTTCGGTGATTTTATAAATTTTAAAAATCAAAACCGACATTAAATAAATGTGTTTTAAGAATAAATACAAATAATTGAATCGAAATATAAATATTCGAACATAAAAATTTGGTCTGATCGATATTGTGCAATCTAATAGTTATTAATGTGCATTTTGTATAACCATAATTTGCATTGACAATACATAAAACATATGGAAATTAAAATAATAGTATTTTTTAAATAGTTCGGTCGAGTTAGTTATTTCATTTATTTATTTTTTATTTAAAAAAAAATGAGGCCGACATCAAATATAAATAACTGTAATTTTATAGTAAATACAAATAAAAGACGAATACAAAATTTGAAACGAAAAATTTTAGTTTGTTCGGATTTGGTCAATATTTGTGCAATCTTATAGTCATTAATGTGCAACTCTTTGTACAGTAATGTGCACTCGCAGTGCATGTTTTTTTTTTATTACTTTTCCAAACACATTAAAATATAATCGAAATGATCATTTTATTAGTTCGAGTAACCAAATTAATCTAAATAAACGAAATAATTTTTATTTTATAATAGAAAAATATATTTAGTATTTTGATATTTTATTTAATATTTTTTTTTATTTGTTTGTTTGAAAAGTTATAATATCCTATATAAAAAATATAATGTTCTATATAGTTCGGTCGGTCGATTGTTAAAAAAAAAGAGTCGAAATCGAATCGAAATAACTTTTTTTTTTTCCCGAAACGATAGATAGTTTTATAAATCAAAATGCACAAATGTGCGAATACACAACAGTCAACAACTGAATACACAGCAGCCAACAGCTGAAAAAGTGGGAGGACAGGTCAGAAGCCCGCCTAGAATCCCGACTAGCAACGCTAGAATAAAAAAACACACTCACAACTACACTAACCAACAACACAAACAACTAGAAAAACTACAAGGACCCCAACAGGGTAATACCCGAGTGTCGGACCCCAACGGAGTAATAAGTTTGACACCCGGGCTCACAGAGGCCAAACGGCCCAAACCAAAGACACATCCTAAAGCACAAAGACAAACACGAACACAAAAACAA